ACCCTTAACGAGCTCTGAACCTTGAACCCTAGAACCCTCAAGCCTGAACTCCGAACTAACTATCCTCTCAACCCTCAGACATAAAGCCCACGCCCCAAGACCTGCATCCCGCAACCCAAAATGCACGAGGTTTAGGGTATTGGGGGCGTAGACTTTGGGTTTAGTGGGTTGGGGGTTTTAGAATTGGGGATTTAAGACTCTAATACGGAAATTCCGGAAGCGTGCTCGGAGAACCGTGGAGGATGGATCTGCGAGGGAGGACGTGGAGGCGCGCTGCAGAGGTTTTAGGGTTCCTGTAAAAGCCTTTGCAACGTTTACTGAAGAGAGTTGCTGTCGCATGGGCTTTGGGTTGGGCGCTTAGCTTTCAGGGTTTAGGGATTAGCTCAAGTCTTGCGAGACTGCATCGTCGGGTTTTCGTCACCGTAATGATGACAACAACATCAACAACATTATCAACACCAGCAGTAACAGCAACAACAATAACACGAAATTCGTACAAAATGCGAGAATGTACGCAAAAGCCGATTTTCCAAAGGAATAGCCAAGGTAACGCATGTGTTCCTGCTGGCACCAAGCTGACATGGAGGCCTTGAGCACTTGCATGCAGTGTGTGTTGGAACAAATTTGTCGCGGTCAGGATGACAAGGACAGCGAGAAAGTCAGCGGCTCAGCGGTGTTGTAGGGTGGCTACGGGTCTTCGATTGTTGTGGATTCTGTTGCAGATTCTGTAGTCAGTAGCCTGTGTGACTTCGTTCCTCGATTCCGCCGACAGGAGCAGCTTCTGGAGGCAAGAAGGGCGGGGCTCCAAAACCCCTTTTACGGTCCCCAAACCTCCAACACCAAAACCTTAGACCCTATACCTCTTGCTGTTGAGGTCCTGCGATTGTGGTTCTTGGTTTCCCGTTGTTCTCCTGGAGAGATGCCATCAGCCTTTTCTGAATTTGGATATCCTGATATCCTTGCTGAAAAGGCTACAGCAGAGGACCTCTGAAAACTGATGACTAGCATCTTGATACAGCGGCGTGAGACATCTCTGACATTACGAAATTATGTTGGCTGTCTGACCGTCACAAACGCTGCGCCAATTATTGATGCAATAGATAATATTTTACCGCTGCAACTCTTGCTGGCGTTGTTTTATAGCAGCACACATACATACATGTATACACATGCATATATATATATATATATATGTATATATAAAACACATAGAGATACCAACAATGACAATAAGCTCATGGTTCTGACAATAGCAGGACAGCGCTACTGGCAACAGAAATCATGCAACTGGCATTAGGCAACCACAACACCAGCTCTTGAAGAAAGCAACTCTCTCTATATATATATATATATGTATGTATGTATGTATGTATGTAGGTGTATATATATATATATATATATATATATATATGATGCATATATATAATATAATATAATATAATATAATATAATATAATATAATATCATATCATATCATATCATATCATATCATATCATATAATATAATATAATATAATATAATATAATATAATATAATATAATATAATATAATATAATATAACATAATATAATATAATAAAACATACTATAATATAATATAATATACTGTAATATAATATAATATAACATAATATAATATAATAAAACATACTATAATATAATATAATATAATATGATATAATATGATATAATATAATATACTATAATATAATAAAAATATAATATAATATAATATAATATAACACAATATAATATAATATAACATAATATAATATAATGTTAGTATTCCAGCCAGGAGAACGCCCTGCTCAGGCGCCGGGTGGACGCGTTAGAGGACCTCCCCTTTAGGGTCCAGAAGCCAATTAAGCCGGGGTTAGGATCTTGAGCTTTTTAGGATCTTGGGCTTTGGGCAGGCTTTGGGTGTTGCTTCGGATGTGGTGTCGGATTTGGGGTTGTTGTGGGATTTTATGATTTCGAGCTTGGGGGGTATGCAGATTTTAGGCTGTAGGTTAGGTGCAGGGGTTTGGGATTTTCGGCTTTGGGTTTAGAGCCCAGAAGGACAATGTCAGCACATCGTTGTGCTTGAGACTCTGGGGTTGGATGTCGCTTCATGGCTCGGGCTGCCTGTGACCAATGTAGCAAGCAAGAAGCCCGGATTATCGGTTGCGTTATCCTCTGTATGGAAATGGTATGATACAGCTGAAAAGGAACTTCGGCCGCATGTAATGTGTTGGTAGCCTGGCAGCATCCGGGGTCAAGGAATAGGGCATCGTGCTGAGAATGTCGTTTTGTTATCCGCATGTTGGGTTCAGGAATGCTAGGCCCGATCTGTTTGTTCCCTACTCTAGACCCCCGGATCTGGGGCTTTGGGCTTCGGTACTCTTTGTGGGTGGTCTTGTATCTAGAAGAATGCTGTTGAGAGTCTCAAAGCCGGAACCTTGAATCCTGAATTCCGAGTCTTGCGAAACCCTCCACCTCCAATAATTACATGTAAGGGTTCTACACCCTAAACCCTAAAAGACTTGGGCCTTCGTCTTTTCGATTTTGCCCGAAACCCCAAGCCCCTCAAACCCTGCAGTCCTAACCCCCCCGCCGCCTCGGTGCTCCCTGGGGTAGAATGTTCAGGATCAGAGTTTAAGGTTTGTTGGGGCGGGTGTCTACACCCCAAACATATCGAAGCCTTTGCTGCACACGTGGGTTCCTTGGGCCTTGATTTCGCAGAACACAACATGCACCTGAGCGGAGGGTTTCAGCACCTAAACCCTGAACGCCTAAACCCTAAACTCCCTAACCCCCAACCTTGGGAAATTCTGCGCAACAGGCCAAAGCCCTCAGCTGCCTGGGCTGGTGCCGCTGAGGCTCGGCTAGTGTTGCGGCCCTCTTTGTGGTAAACACGGTGGGTAGTACACAGAGGTGTCTTATTTTTTTCTTTGTGGTCTGGAAATATATGTGTTGTAAAACGTAGTGAAATCCGAAGCCACTCCAAGTCAAGCCGGAAACGCTCCAAAATGGTGTTAAAACCAATCTACAACTACTGCTGCTACTACTACTACTCCTCCTGCTGCTGCTACTATTATTGCTTCTGCTGCTACTACTACTACTACTACAACTACTACTACTACTACTACTACCACCACTACTACTACTACTACTACTACTACTACTAGCCGACAGCGTGCTCCTGTGACCCCCTTAACTGGCCCTGAAGCTTCAAAAGGCGGAAAGGTACTTCTACTTTAGAGGAGCACGCGGGCGACTACTACTACCTTAGAGGAGCAGGCGGGTAACGACTACTACTTTAGAGGAGCAGGCGGGCGACGACTACTACTTTAGAGGAGCAGGCGGGCGACGACTACAACTTTAGAGGAGCAGGCGTGCGACGACGGAGACTACTACCCTATCTAGCAATAAGACCCTATCTAACAATATGCCAAGCCAAGCCAAGCCAAGCCAAGCCAAACCATTTTAAAAAAGATCTCCTTTCACCATTGTGACAGAGGAAAACCCTATCTAACAATAAGACCCTATCTAACAATAAGACCCTATCTAACAATAAGACCCTATCTAACAATAAGACCCTATCTAACAATAAGACCCTATCTAACAATATGCCAAGCCAAGCCAAGCCAAGCCAAGCCAAGCCATTTTAAAAAAGATCTCCTTTCACCATTGTGACAGAGGAAAACCCTATCTAACAATAAGACCCTATCTAACAATAAGACTCTATCTAACAACAAGACTCTATCTAACAATAAGACCCTATCTAACAACAAGACCCAATCTAACAACAAGACCCTGTCTAACAATCAGACCCTATCTAACAACAAGACCCTATCTAAGAATAAGACCCTATCTAACAATAAGACCTTATCTAACAATAAGACCCTATCCAGCGCTAAGACCCTATCTAACAATAAGACCCTATCTAACAATAAGACCCTATGTAAAAGTAAAACCCAAGCCAAGCCGTACGAAACCAAGCCGAACCAAACCAGTCTAAGAGCAAAACCCAAGCCGGGCAACAAAGCAGCGTGCCGGGGCGCAGAGTGCCGTGGCGCAGAAAGCAAACGGCTGCCGCATGCGAGGGGGAGAGGTCACAGTCAGAGGCATGCGACAAAGGAGGCAAAAGGGGGGTCACAGGAGCACGCTGTCGCCTACTACTACTACTACTACTACTACTACTACTACTACTACTACTACTACTACTACTACTACTACTACTACGAGTCACAGAAGCATTCGGGGCATTGATGGGCGTTGTTTCCGACTGTAGATCACATCTTAACATGCAGCACGCACAAACATGTGGCACAGCTCATGTTGTCGTCCAGCTCGGCCAGCCCCGGTCGTTAAATTTTGTAAAAGTTGGGGTCCGGAGGTTGCCACTGCTTGCAAACGCTTGAACCCACTATTTGGGTAACTCGGGCTCGGTAGCACGTCAGGCTTTAAGCATTCGCAAGCAGTGGCAACCTCCGGGCCCCAACTTTTACAAAATTAAAGGACCAGGGCTGGCCGTATGTTAGAATTTGAGGCGGGCTTTGGTTTCTCGAAACTTTTTACGCATTCAGGATCGCAGTTCGGTGCAGGTGCGGTGTACTTCACGGATCATGGGAGTTGGAATTAGTTATAAGTACTTCAACTAGAGTAAAAGGCATTATAAGCATCAAGTTGAGAAGTTTGGATATGATGGCAAGCCGTCTTGGCTCTCTGGGTTCGGCAAGAGCAAGCTTGAATGAGTGGTGGTTCAACACGCACGCACAACTTGCCGGTTCATGGCAACCAACCCGTACTACACATGAAGGACTTCGTCCAAGCAGACTTCGTCCAAGCAGCAAGCCAAGAAGGTTCTAGTTGATGTTCCAGACCGAGATGTTTGGACAAAGCCCCCCGCCTTCATAGCCCCCAGTGTGTTCCCGACACCCATTTCCCAAGTCCTTGAAACCCTGTGCCCTCATTCCAAACCTGTTAACCATAGCTTGGGGCTCGGAAGACATCATGCCATGGCGCAGCCTTCCAAGCGTGCGAGGTTCTTGGCTGCCGAGGCGGCTTCTTCAAGCAATTCTATAATGGTTTTGGATTTAGTTGTCAATGACTGCTCGTGTTATGTTTCTTTCTCCTTGTTACTTTCGTATGAACATCTCCCCGGGACTGAAGAAGCAGAATTATCTAGTCGGAGTTAGAGAATCGACAGATATCCTACAGAACCCTTTTTCGAATGGGTATCATCCTTCTCAACACAAGGGTTGAAAGGCAAAACTTCTTAGGCTCGAGACGATGTGACATGGCGTGCGTTCCAAGCACCCCGTAAACAAGCTTTGCGAGCAAGCAAACAGATTGAGATGGGAGGTAGACGACCCCATTTGCCGCTTCTTTATTCGGGGGACCTGCAGTAACGGCGCCGCATGCCGATTTCGCCACGAGGCTGGCCGGCTATCCGAGCTGAATTGCACTGATAAACATAGGCTTGAGTTGCAGAATACTGCTCGATTGATGTTTGGAGTTCTGTTTTTGGTTGGGCCCGGATCCGGGTGCTTTGCATCCTAAACCGGCCTCAGCAGAGTTCAGGGCTGCGAGGACCCCTGAATTGCACCCGCCGCGCAGAAGGCGTACCTTAAGCTGGTGTGATCTTGGCAGTTGAAAGCCACAAGCCTAGCGCATGACGCCTGAGATTTGCAATGCTGCGCATGTTTTGAACTTCTGCGCTTTCAACGCATTCCGCCTGAACCGGGCCACATCTGCCAGGACCCTGCGAACGTGCCCTGTAGATTTTTTGCACGCGGGGCTTGCAGCCGTGGCAAAGAGTGCCTGTATCTACACGCTCAGGCGGGCTTCCGGTGAGGGACGGCTAACCGTGCAGGGCAGTGCTGCAATGTTGCCCACATGTGTTTCAAAATGCTTTTTCATGCGGCGTGCCAGTGTCATGCCTGCCTGCGGCATTGTATTTCTTGACACAAACGCTTTTTGCTGTTGAAATGCATAAACAAAGAGGGTGACATGGGCAAGCATGGCAATATAGTATTTAGGTCGCTGATGTTCTCGTTGCTAGTAATGAGCCTTGCTGTTTGCATTGTGGGTAGTTGGGCAAGTAATTATGCTTATCGTTTCGAATTTCGTTTTTGAACCATGTGTTGAATACGCTTGGTGTGATTACCTTTCGTCGTCATCGCAGGAGGAAGTAGGGGGAGGAGGAGGAGGAGGAGATGCAATGTTTTTTTGACGGGCACCAGAATTAGCAGAATCATGTTTTTTGCATTTCCCAACATGGTCAAGACCAACTTGCTGACACATCTGTTGCTTTGAGGTGCCCCAAGCATGTTTACTCCTCTCTTGGCTGCTTAACACCACCCATACTTCCAACCCCATCGCCACAGCGCACCGTGAAGCAAGGTGCCTGCGAAGCCACTGCAATTTTCCCAGCACGAGGCTGGCCGGGATGTCAAAGCAGGCCATGGTTGCAGCTGAAGCCTGAAAGTGCAAGCAGTGTTGGGGACTCTTTCCATTGGAAATACGCCCCGAAACAAAGAAAAATTCAGGGTTTTCATGGATTAAGAGATATTGGGATCTTAACTATGTACGGAACAAACAACCGGGCAGGTGACTCTCGACATACGGCGCATCAAATCCCGGATCGCTGCTGTTTCCTCCGTTGTTACTCTCCAAAACCTCGGACTAGGGTTTTTTCTGGGGTTTCCACGAGGGTATTGCGGGCTTTCGTTTCTATAGGGTGTAGAAGAGTCGTAGAGGGGCTGATGGAGCCCAGTGCTCGTTTATTGAGGACGAGATCTTAGGCTGCATTAACGTGAATTCGAAAGTCGCACGAGATATCGAGGGCCTGCATTAAATGCACGAGCAGTTCGCAAGCAGCACTGACGGGACACTTTCAGGAGGTGGTCCCACCATCCCAAACTTTGATGCCGGTATCCCCGCAGTGCACATGCAGCAAGTGCCAGGAACCGCACCCTATTCCCCAAACCGTAATCCTAAAGCTTAAACCCAGTTTTATGGCCTTCGCTAGGATGCCAATGCTGCTCCAGGGCTGCAACGAGGTTTCTCGGGCTGCTGAGGGGTCAAAGGACTTTGTAGATGGCTTGACAGTCGCATTACTGTTGTTGTACTTCCTAATAAGACTAGATAACCAGGTTAAGGTCCTTGTTCAGTAATTTCTGTAATCACATTTAAAGCTACGCTTGAGCCTTCCAGTCACCGGGCATCGGATTGTCAGAGTCGCCGCACTCCTCGTTGATCTTCCGAGGGGATGTGCGATCGAGACCTGGTTGCGGAGCTGAGGTTTAGTGCCCGACACCTCCTAACCACGGCTTCGAGTGCATTTTCCGGATTGCTTCCATTCTAAACTCGCTTCCAGAAGGGGGTTGGTTCGTGTCGGCCTTGATTTCCATCGCGCATCCGCTACATTGCGTCCAATCGCAGGCCGTGCCAAGAAAGTTAGTATTATAAACACGCCGATTCAAGGTCAGTCCTGTCGTCTTGAAGGCACTACTGAACTGCACTCAGCTCGGAGAAACAGCAGGGCTTATGCACTGCATTCGGCTGCTCGTGACCTCAACCGCCCAGACAAAAGCAATGAAGCATGCTCCCAACCATGCATAGGTTCAGCGGCTTGTTGGTCTGTCTGGTGCTGTAGACCTGCATGCGACGGCAACGCACCTCGAACCCCGACCCCAAGGCTTCGATTAGATCCGATACCTTAAAACACCAGGTTAAACAGCTCTAGGCCTCCCATCCAAAAGGCCCGTGTGATTCAATCCAGTAGCAACGGTCATAGTAGTGGCATCCAGAAGAACGGTCAAGGATCATCAAAGCTGCTCCAGGCAGTGCAAAGGCTTCGCAAGGAAGCTCTGTAGCAGAGCCTCGGAAGGCATGAACAAGTGTGTTTGTAAGGTCTTCGGCTTTTGGCCTTGGGTTTTCTAAGAATCAGGGCTCTCACAAGTGCGGTAACCTGTGGAAGTTTAAGTTTACGACGAATTTGGGGCTTGAGCTTTTGAAGATGGCTCGAAGCCGCGACGCCATGTTACACCCTCCGACCTCGTGCACACAGCTTAAGGTAGCCCCCAACACATGTAGAAGAAAGCACAGGTGAAGAGGAACAGAGAGAGCTGAACAGAAAGACAAGGGATGACTCCGAGTATTTTCTCCCGTTCTTGCTGCCTTGTGCTGGCATCCGAACCTTCGTAGCCCCGGAGGCCGAGGCCCCACCTGCGAGTTGTCTGCCCGGCGCAGAAGCATGCCAGTCCATGCAGTGAACATGCCAACACTCTCCCTGGTGCATGTTGTGCCTTTTTACTTGTTCTCCTTGTCTAATGCCGTAACTTGCGATAAAGCAATTCAAAATGTTCCACAATCTTCTAAGTACAAACTCCACATTGCCAAGTATGTGATGTCAGCTGTCGAGCACCAAAAATATCTGACAAATCGCCGGCTAAGGAGCCGCGCAGCGCGCGCAGCATCTTGCACAGATACTCCGCCTCGAGCATCGCAAAGGCCCGGGACCCGAAGTGGTGGGTTGCAGGGTTAAGGGTTTAAGCCCAGTGTGTGCATTTCACGGTGGTCTTGAAGATTCTAAACAGTTTTTAGGTTCCTTAGCTTTCAGTATTTAATTTGGCCTTAGGGGATTGAAGAGGGTATATAGGCTACATAGGGCTCGTTACGAATCTTGGAGAGTGTATCATATGGGCTATAGGCTTCCCTAAATCCAAACTCTAAACCTTAATGGCAGAATGATCGTGATCATATCGGGCCTTGTTGGTTCGGGGTCTCGGGGCTTTGTGTTTTGGAGGTTTGTAGGTTTTAGTGCTTTAGCTTTTGGGTTTAGGATTTCAGGATAGTGTGGGAAGCTTGTTAAGACGTGTGGTCGGCTCGAAACTTCCAATAAGCGCATTATGTACTGGTTTCGTAAGCTGGTTCCTATGTTGCTTCCAGAGGATGGTTAGGCATTCCATCTGGGCAGATTTGAGCTAGACCAGCTGAATGCAGCTTAAGGTGCGGGTGTAGATATCGTGATCGGTTTGTTTGAGCTTTGCGAGCCACTGCGCTTCACAAATGTCCCCGGAGTTGTTGTCAGTTTGAAATGATGAAGGAAGCATGTTCGTGAGCAGATTGCTTACCGAGAGGTTCTGCTTTGGAAGGCTTCTCGGACATGGTCGGCAGCATGATCTACAGCCTGTTATTGCACAGCAGGCCAAGAGAGACGGCAACACAGAGCTCGGTGTCGAAAACAAATATCATGTTTGGGACCCGCTGTCTAGGCCGAGGCTCCTCAAAGCACAATATGGGGGCTTGAACAAGTAGAACGGGGTTTCGAGGCATCTTCTGGTATAATGGTACTAAGGAACCCTACGGAACAATATTCTCATTTACTCGGGCTTGTAAAATATGAGAGTTGTCACGGGAGCTATGATGAGGGGGCTGCGTTTAGGGATCCCATAAGTGTTGCTGTAATCGTTACTGGCTTCCTTTGCAGGGGAATTCAAATAAGTTCGCCAAGTTCAGAAATCAGCGGCAGCAAGCCCGCAGTCTCTGGCGATGTCCCTCTTTGCGCTATGTCTCTCTCACCGCTCTATCGATTTGTCGATCTACACGTCTATCTATACATATATAACAAAAGAGATTTACATGTTTAGCTTCTTGTGTTTGTTTGCGCCATAATATGTTCCGAACGCTTGCTCTTCATCATTGGGTCCACTAGTTTGAGCCCCAGTGCTGCAAGATCCAGCCTGGCCCAGGCAGCCGGCCAGGAGGTCCGCATCAAGGGCCGTCCTCCGCCACAGCCAGCAGGCACTTCAGATATGAAATGTCGAAGGCAGCAGAAGGCTAGTTGGGGTTGGAGATGTTTGCTTCAGGGTTTGGGGTTTAGGACGTTTGGCATTGACTGCACGGACTAGCCGCATCTGTCTACACATGAGCGACTCGCAAATTTACGCTTGACAAAGGAAGCAGACATGCCACCTACAAGACTGCCTCAATCCAGCATGATTCTACCATGCAGAGGCCCTGCGGCTCCGCAGTGGCCGGTTTCCGAGGTGGCCCGTACCCGTCTTCGGAGTGTGACAAGCTTCGCTGTTTCCTGGTAGGTGAAGTCTTTCATGCGTCCTTTTCACCACCATCGTCATCATCAACCACAACATTTTCCGAGTCGCCGTCGTCGTCGTAGCCTACAGAGGTCATTGCCTCCTGCGTTCTGTGTAGTTAACGTCGTAGCAGCAGCATCTGCAATGGGCGACTTAGTTGTGCCTCGAAGTCGTAGTTCTTGAGTAGATATGTGCCAAAACATTGGTCCACGTTCTTCTGTGGCCAACGCACAGGTGCAAGGCTATGCAGAGGAGGAAGAAGAGGCCGGCGAGACAGCAGTGAAGCTCGGTTTCATGTTATCAAGTCCGTTGTGTTTTGAGGGCGGTACGATACCTGCAACGTGTAGGGCTCGGGGTGGATGTGATGTTTTGGTGAGTTCATCTGTTTTCACCACTGTGGGTCAAGCCTGAGTGTCAGAGTCTTTGCCTGACAGTGTAGTTCGAGCAGCATACGCCGGCGTCGCATGAAATAGTGGGGTCCTCAGGCGTGGATGGCTTTGCGCTGGCTTACCTTTTGCTTTTGGCTTCGGGCGTGTCCTCTTCGACCATACAAGTAGCTTGGACATGGTATGGCTTTGCCAATCGGGAGGATTGGGACTGGGTGATGTTAGCGCCCCAGTGAATTTCATGAGAACTATTTAGCGGTGTCTGCACTAGTTGAACTTCGCAAACAGCGCGAATACCGACGCACAGAGATGTTCGCTGTGTTGGCATTTTGTCGCAGGAAGAAGAAGAGGAGTTTGAGAGCGACCCGGTCGTCCAAGCTGTCGATGGAGGGCCAACAGAGCCAGCAGGTAATCCGCAAGTAGCCGACTTGGCAACGACGGATCCATACCTGTAGAAGGTCTCGGCTGTCGCTGATGAGGAGCATTCGATGTCCGCATGCAAGATGTCGTGTCGGTGCCTGTCTGGTTACGCTGCACAGCTATCCTGCTGCAGAACTTGAACCTGGGAACCCCCAGCCTGCATACAGTGGACTGTATATGCACTCTAAACCCTAAACCCTATACCCTTATAGAATCCCTATAGATCCCTTTAAAGGAGCCCCAAAGGAACCCCTTATAAGCATACAGAGGACTGTAAACGGCAGCAACCCCTCCAAGCCCAGAGGTTTCCTGAGGTTCTTGTGTGTACGGCGGCAGCAGGCGATGCAAACAAAGCTTGGCTCTCCGTGCGGCATGAAAAGCCTACTTGGAGGTTCATGGGTCTGGGTAGTTATGAGTGGGGTTTTAGGTAAGGGAACCATGATTAACAACATACAGCCCATGTTAGGCTCATAACCCAGGCATAACCCAATTACAACTAGGCAGAAAGCTCCAAGTACTCGCCAACTCCAGCCTTGCTTGGCTCCTTTGCTGAATCCTTAGCCTGTAGTCTCCTTAGGAATTATGTTTTTGTTCCAAGAAAACCCAAGAGAAGATTGAACAGATCATATTTATTGAGGTCCTAAGGGGGGTTATAGTAGCTGCATGCCTTTGAGAGCCCATAGACAGAGACCTGATGCAGCACTCGAGGTTCCGGCGAGCAGTTGCCTCAGTGTTTTAACCGTTACACCGTTACACGAACCCTAAACCCCCAAGCCCTAAACCCCTAAACCCCTAAAGCCCTAATCCCTAAACTCCTAAAGGCCCTAAAGGTTGTTGCAAAAACCCACCGGTTGCATCTTGGCTCGAAGATGCTGGATCTGGGAGGTCAACAGATCCCTAGTGGTGCTGGCTCGGGCCTTGGTGTGCGATATTTAGCATCCAACGAAGGGTTTAGGGTTTAGGGTTTCCTTTAAAGGGATCTATAAGGGTTTCTGAAAAGGCTTCCTGTAAGGAATCTGTAATTTAAGGCTTAGGGTTTAGGGTTTAGGGTCTGGGGGTTTACGGTTTAGGCGTTTAGGATTTAGGGTCTGGGGGTTTAGGGTTCGTCCTGGAGGAGTCGCAGCAGGCCAGTTGCAAAAGGGTTTGGGGTTTAGGGATTAGGATTTAGGCTTAGTAGGTGAGTCGCTAACCATGGACCTTTCTTGAGCTAGGGTATTCAGCCCCTAAGGAACACACTTGCTTCTCCGTGTCTTGCATCCATCACGCTCCTCAGCAGGAAAAGCATCGTAGTTTCACAGTTGCATCTGAGGGATATCTCCTACCTGCAGCGTCCAGCGCTGTTTGGCAAACTAGGTCTTCTGCATTCCCAAACCCACCTGCTCTTTGCAGCTCCCGTTTCGTTTCTCTCGGTGAGTGGCACGCAGATTCCCGGCCCCTAAACCCTAAACCCTTAAACGGTGAGTCCATGATGTGCTTTCCAGGGGCGTCGTATGCTCAGCCGGCGGCGGCGTGCTCTCCACGTGCGCCGCGTTATGCTTGCTGCGGGGCTTTGGATGAAATTGCGGAAGCGCCGGGCGCTCGAAGGGCAGGAGATTTCTCTGCTGAATTCTGACATGTACAACAGTGCAAAACTCTTGCCAGCCAGACATCCCAGCTTCGGCATTGCGGCATTGCATCAACCCTCACAACATATGAAAAATTATCCGTAAGACTCCTCAGCCCGTTGGACCTTCTGAAGCCGCCCGAGGCAGACGGTGCGCTGAGCGCTCAGAGCGAACAGCCACCAGACAGAATTCTGGGCGCGCGCCTCAGCAAGGGGTCGAAGATCGAGAGCTCCGGAGCACCGAGGATTTTTTATCCAAGCCGCTCGAAAGCGCAAGCAGGAACAGAAGTAGTGAAGGTAGCAGCCGTAGTGCCGTAGTGCCGTAGTGGTGGTGGTAGTTGCAGTAGTAGTAGTAGTAGTAGTAGTAGCAGCAGTAGTAGTGGTAGTGGTAGTGGTAGTGGTAGTGGTAGTGGTGGCAGCAGAATGAACCGAAGCAGCAGTCGATGTCGTTGTCACGTCCTCATACCGACAGCAGCCTTGCACCCATCGTCGTCTTCTTAGGCCCGGCGACTCGAGCTCTGAGAGCCCCCCAAACCTCTACATGCTAGTTCAAGTGGGTTTGGGGCTGTCAAACCAAGATTCCCGAGCTGAGAAATGGGCATATCTTCTTCTTTTTACAACCATGAGTTGCGACGATTGTCAATCCTGAAGCCATTGCGCCGTTGCCAGGAGTCCACAACTCACAGCATCCAGGCAGGGCTGTTGGCATGTGACTCGAGTTGAGATGTTGGGTTCAGTGCTCAGTGTACAGGGCCTTGGGTGGATGCAGTACACTCTTGTCCAAGATGCACCCCATGGTACGGTTTGAAGGCGGAGCATCCCTTCAAGTAGAGATGGATGCGTATTGTGGATTAAGGTCTGTTCCTTAGTCTGAAAGCATCGGACGCTGTGCGCGTGGCCTTCAAATCTTGGGCCAGCGGGTGACCAGGGAACGGAAAACCGCAGCGGGTTTAAGGGCTTAGGGCTCTCAAAGATAGCGTGATGCGCTTGGGAGTTTTCGGGTCTGGGGTCATCTACGGTTCTTGGGGGGGAGCAGAAACATTGCACGTTTTGCGTCTTTGAAAGCTTCGGATGCCCAAGCAACCCATAAGCATGTATGAAACCTGCAAGCCTCAGGCTGGAACCATGCCCCGAACCCTATGGCTACGGCTCAAGCCGCAGGTTCAGAGCTTCAGATCTTGCAAAATCCCATTCCTCGATAGGTGTGTGCGGCCGGTGCATGCGTGATGAGAGTCCTCCCCTTGCAGCGCCGCGGCTCGCTTGGGCTGTCCGCAACCAGGCAGGTCAAGGGGCAGGTCACGGTGTTCAGAAAGATGCGGCCTCCATGTATGTCGAGGGCGTGGTGCCCTTTCCAGGTGACATGATCTGTTGCATCGCCGAGTGGAAATGTGTCCAGTACGGCCACGGTCTCTATGACCAGGATTCCGGCCAATGCCTCATTCAAGGAGCTGCATTAACTCGTGTGGGATCCTGTGACGACCAGTCAGAATGCCTTGGTGGCAGATATATCGACGACAAAGGGTTGTGCTACTTCGAGGACAAGTACACCCAAATCACTCCGGCCAGATCTCAGTCCGATTGCTGGGCAATGGGTGGAATCTATACTGGATGTGGTGGCGGCAAATGCTTGAAGAAGTGAAGAGTGAAGAGCTGCTGAGCTGCTGCAGAAAGGAAACAGAAACCTGCAGAGTCCCCCCAAACCCTGAACCTGTGCACCCCAACACGGTTTTCTTGGAGGCTCATGGGTAGTTATAAGCAGGTTATGAGTCCCCTAATATTACCCATGAACCTCCAAGTAAAAACCACAAGCACCCAGACCTGCAAGAGCTGCAGGCCGGGCACCGCTGATGCGGCAATGGACGACCTGGAGGATGTAATGGACGGCGCCCCCTCTGCCCGCCCTGGCGAGCTTCCTTGCATTTTTAGAGAGGGGGTCGAGTTTAGGGTGCAGGGTGGCAGGGTTTTTTCGAGAGCCCAAGGGACTACCTTAAATTATTGAAGGGATCAAAGATTTGGTATAATTTAAGCCTTAAGGCGTGTTGCTGTTGGGCCCTCTCGTTAGGGTTGGAGCGTTTGGGCGTTGGATGGCTTCTGGGCTTGGGGCATAAAGTCAAAGCAAAGAGCTCCGGTCCGACAGCGACAACCCTGAGCTCCAAGGAGTCGAGACTACAGGGGACGCCAAGCAGAGAAGTGCTCAGGGTAGCGGTTGCAAGAGCCCTGAAGACTATGGTTTCTATTGATAAGAACGGAGGCCTTGTCTCGAGTGTTGAAGCAGCTGTTTGCAGCATCATGGCCAGGATGAAGATTTTGAACCACCTCAGCCACGTGGGCTGGATGCTCAGCACGTCGATCGTGCGACCGAGTCTTTCTTATTCACTCGGAGTCATTCAATCCTCGAAGCACAGTGTCCTGGACCCCTGCCCTCCCAAAAGCTCGGAAACTGCTGGAGAGAAACTCTTACCTTTGGTTAGTAGGGAATGCAAGAATGGTAGTAGTACAAGCTATTGGCATATAATTGTACCCCATTCCTCCATTCCCTACTAACCAAAGGTAAGAAACTGCTGGAGCGAAAACGGCGCTTAGGCCGGTGCGCTCCAGACGACCACCGACTCGCCTGGACCTCGACGACAGGGCCTCCACGGATTGAAGCTTTCGGAGCTTCCCAAAATAAGGGCCTTGATAGTTCCAAATATTGATTTCCTTATTGTAAGTATAGTATAACGGGCCCCAAAACCTTATTCTAATTGGTAAGACCCCTACAGTAGGGTTTCGGATACATTGATGTTTTTGTTTCACACCTGGCCCTGAGGTAAGGCTTCGGGGTTCTTTAGGGATGCAGGGCTTTGGATTTCTGGCACTTCGAGTTCAGATTTGCTCTGTCTTCTCAGCATCTGGTTCTTCATCCAAGCCTTTTGCTCTGCAAGGCTGACAGTGGAGGAGTAGAGTGTTGAAAACCGACGAGAATGGGGGTGAACGCAATCCTTCTACTCGCAAATGCTCTTGTGGAGGAACTCAGCTGTCAACCGCCTGATAAGGAAAGTATACTGTTTTTGCCTACACATCCCGATTTGCGTAGCTTAGATGGAGCTCCTTCTAAGCCGCAAACCACTAAACCCCTTGTCTTGTCCAGAACCCAGTCACTGAGGCAAGCCTCCTGAACAACAGGAAGGCTCAGAAGTTGTGCCTGGGGCCAAGGATGCAGAGGAAAGCGTAGAAAGCCTACGAAAGAAGCCTGACCTACTCTGCTGACGATTTGCAGAACCGGAGGCGTGTTCAAAGGTTCGTTGTAGCGCTTGATCAAGAACACTAGCTTCAGCTTCAATCTTGGAAGCAGTTTTGAGCAACGAATTGGAACCCAAATCCACCCTGTAGCCGCACCAGCCTCTGCTTTGGGCACTAGGTAGCTAAATGGCTCGAACGGAAAACCGAAGTCAAAGCAGGTTCCAATTGGATTGGAATGTGCCGCTAACCCCGAAATCCTACAATTCATTGGCCGAATAGTAATAAGTACAATGCTACAACGTCCTTTTGAAGCCCTGTATTGTGGCCCAGGGCAACAGGGCCGAAACCTCGGAAGGCGCAAAGGGCTGGATGCCAGAAAGCCCTTTACCCACTCCTTAGATATGCAGTATGCTTCAAGTCCTAATATGACGCCCCAATTGCGGCCCCGTTAAGCTATGTACTCCTTGATTTAGGGGTATCGGGCTCTCTGGACACTAGTAGACTTGATGGTTGAGTGAGGTTTTCCATCGGGCACTCTCAATTCACTGGGCCATGCTTCGAAGAAGCCTGTTGAAACCATGTCGCCGTCATTGGCCCTCAAAGCAAAAGACTGCTGCAAATTCTGGAACCTTCCATTTGCACATGTACCTTCCGCATCCTCGCCGCAGCTAAACACCCTCAGAAGCAGGTGTTTGCGGCGCATCGAGCCAGATTTACGTAGACTAATGAGCATGATCTTCTCTGAACCGTGTGCGTGTGCGTGCAATGCTAAAGACATGCTCGGGACATATGCCTGGGTCTTCCAGCCCTACGCCTATTCCGAGGATTTCATCCATACAGCATCTAATCACCCTTGCCACCGACTTGCTGCTTTTGCCACTTTACCTTTCCTGCCCTGCAACGGAAACGCGCCTCGTAATGTTGAAAGTTCGCATGTTCTAGATGTTGCATTGCCGGAAGATCATAGTACCGAACCGACATGTACTGCAGCATGCCAAACCAAAGCCTAATCACATTGCCCCGCGGACGTGCCCTTGACATCTCTTACCGCTTCCGCCGCAGATCACTCTTCTAAAATCTGTTTTTGAGGGCCGGCCGTCGGGCTCTCAGTTTGTTTGCCTGGGGGGCGTAGGAACGGGTTGAAGTTCTCCGGGGCCTTGACCACTTCAGCAGCCCTCTGCATACTAGACCCGGGGCTCCTTTGCGGAGTCTTTCTGTATCGGGATCCTATGCGTGGGTTGCTGACTTTCGAAACTCCCTTCGGAAGTTTGGAATGCCCAGGTCTACAGTGGAAGACTAGACAGAAGATAGCACAGGATGTTGACGAACACAGAAACCAAGAGGCTGCCGTGATTTCAGTTATCAGTTGCTTCGGGATGCTCTGGTGTTCAGACTTCAGTGCAATGCCTTTCAGGCCTGCGATGTAGGGCTGACAGAAATCTTAAGACTCAAGTGCACGGAAGCGGTCTTGTTGAAACCCTGAGAACAGGAGGTTTTGCGTGCTGGGTTCCTTGAGGCCCCTAAACCCCAAAACCCTTGAGGCTCCAAGCACGTTAACTGCGTGGAGTCTGCTGAATCCACAAGCTCTACGGGCCAATGAGCCTGCGGTAACCCCTCCAGGCTTGTCCCAGTTGTGAGTGCTGAAACCCCCTTGAGGCCTGTGGTCTTGTTTAGCTACACGCAAGCTTGCTGCGCCGAGCAGCCGCGCGCCCAGCGGAGCTAAAGCTTTTCTCCTGGATGCGAAGCCCGATAAAAAGACAGAATCATAAAAACAACATGAATCAGAATAGCAAAAGTAATAACAGCAGTAGTAATAGTATTGGTTATGGTAATGGTAATAGTAATAATTGCAGTTGTCAAAGTAATTGTACTAGTTTACAGTAAAGCAGCAGTAACAATAATAGTACTGGTGCTAGTACGAGCACAAGTACTAGTGCTAGAAACAGGAATACACTCATTCACCCACTCACTCACTGACACTCGCAGCAGGGAAGTCCGTCTGCGTAGTAGTAGTAGTAATATGGGTAATACGAATAATAGTAGGAATTATCATTACCTTAACCGTCCCTGACCCCCTATCTCATCCTAACATCAGCGATTCCCAACTGCGTGCGGGCTGCCTGGCAGCCACTCTGAAGGTCTGTGTGCGCATGAGTGGGGCAGGAAAGGTTGCAGCTTCAATTTCGGATCCTGTTCGCAGTGCCAGGTCGTCGGGTCCAGGCAGTGCATCGCTGCAGAAATCCTGGCATGCCGCGACAGCTGAGGCGTCCGATGGACCGGGCCGTCCCAGCTGACGAGGAAGGCCCCCGGATGTTCTACTCTCATACGGATGTCGACGCCTTACATGCATCAGCTCTGTCGGTCGCAGATTTTAGCAAGATAGGAATCGACAAGCACCCTGAAGCTGAGGCAATACACCAGTACAACGCCGTCATCAATATTCTCAGGTATGGCGGCCTCTTTAGGGCTCGGGTCTCAGCACAAGAGATTTGGGGAGGAGTGTCCGCCTGGCGGTCAAGTCTTCCAAATTCCGGTCCAGGCTACCGCAGGCCGCACGAATCGTGCTAAAGGAGATCAGGGAAGCCCACAGAGTGCTGCACCACATTTTTAGGATTGTGCCATGCCAGGGGATGAGGGGTTGGTTCTGGAAAACTAACAGCTAAGGTGCGTGCGGAGACAAACAGGTGGACAGTTCTGTGGTGCGAGCCTCGGAAAGCTTCACCGTTCCTACTTGGAGGTTCATGGGTAGTTATAAGGGTTCCTTTTAAGGGTCTCTTTTTAAAGGGATCTACAGGGATTCTACAAGGGTGTAGGGTTTTAGGGCCTACTTGCAGGTTCATGGGTAGTTATAAGTGGGGTTAGAAGTCCACTAAAATGTAAGTATAGTTACCCTACTTATAACCCCACTTATAACTACCTATGAACCTCCAAGTAGCTACTGGACTGCGGCGGGAGAACGATGAATCCGGCTTCCATTTCCTTCATGGCCTCCGTGCGTACATGAGCTGTGGTCTGAAATGTCTACACATATGGCTGCCGTAATTCTTCTCCGGTAACGGTTCTAGTTAAACTATCCTTGGTGCAGTTCCTGGGCGAGTGACAAGTTTTAAGCCTTCAGAGTGATGTTCGTTAGCAGTCGCATGTCTTTTGAACCAAGCGGATGAGCACGTTGTAGCACGGGGTCAGTAAAATCGATCCGGGCCAAAGTATAACTGCAGGTGGGGTCCCCACTCACCCTCCACTGAGACCTTGCAGCAGGTCTTTGCATCCCACACCAGATCAGCTCCGGCGATTCAGGCATCATGCATGTACCCTTAGCTTGCTGGTCTGGTGTTCCACGGTCTCAGTTGAACAGGCTTGCCAGGCTGGTATTTGGATAGGGTTGCCAAGGGCAGCAGCGTCATCCCCAAAGCCACTGAAGACCGCCAAGAGCTTCCGGAGGGGGACAAGCCCTTTTGCAATGTCAGAGCGGCATCAACCGAAGCTCCCCTAACGAAGACATAAATTGGCATATCCGAGTCAGAGATTAAGCGTGCCTCCTTGGAGACACGAGCATGGAATAGAAGTGGATCCTTCCGTGCTGGGCAATGCCTTGACCTTCAAATCCTTGTACGCACACGGCATCCAGCAACGCAAAACGTTCTCGAATGCGGCAAAAGAAAGGCACCCTGTTGCACAACACAGTGTTTCAAACTTTAGAGGAAGAAGTCCCTTCCTGGCAATCCCAGCATCCCAAAACCCGATGGCAAATTCATCCTCAACCCTAAGGCTCTAAGGATCTCAGAGCAGAATGAGTTTCAGCATGACGGTTACAACAAGTACCTACGCTCATACAAAAAGCTTTTGAAGCCACGGACCCAAATATAGTACCTGTTTTAGTAGGATCCCTATAATAAGTAATAAGGACCCCAAAATATGCTACCCCTAATTTTCGGAAACTCCCACCAGACGAGCCCTGCTCTCTCCGCCTCCTCGAGAGCCCTGGCTCCGCAGTCCCGTCCAGCGCGCGAACCACTTCCCCGGCTCGTTTCACCTGGGCAGAAAGGACCGCTTTGCTTGGAGGGTTTTCGTGTTGGGTGTTTCGCACTTAGTAGGGCCAGAAGCAAGGAGAAGGCAGCGAAAGTTTCTCGATCACCCGTTTTAAAGGTTCAGGGGTATGTAGCACAACGTAGCACTGTAGGTGTCCGCAAGCCTCCCGGTTACCACCACTGAGTTCAAGCAGGCTAGCATATGGCGGGGATGTCTGTACCTCTCTGCACAGACTTGCGATATACTCTCTCGCACGAGAACAGAAAGCAATAGCGTAAGTCAAAATGCATGTGCGATGTATCTTGGGCTTTGAGTGTGCCTGCGAATTCGGCACTAGAAGAACGCACTGCTGACGGCGCGTGCACGTTGAATAAGGTACAGTCATCCCAAGTTTGTTGGTCGATGTCTGAGTGAGGACCTGATCTGGAGGAATCTGGCAAAGATGCAGCAACGATTCGGGAAAGAGCCGGGGCCTTGAGTGAAAAGCAGCGGAAGGCCTCAGGCTATCGGGCAGGTGCCACAGACATGCCAATGTCCATTGCAGGTATCCAAGGGCTTTTGGAGTCGGTGGGGCCCTGGAAGTCAGGGCATCACTGGGTTTTCCAGTCTGCAGCTACAGCAGTCGGCACAAAACTCTTGGTCTTTGGCATCATGCAGCAGCGCCCTTGCACAGCTTCGTGTGAACAAGATGCGTGGCGTGGGCTTTCGGTACGCAGACTCCTTCCTGCAAATTTCCGCTCCTCTTGCCGGGCATGTTCTGTGCATTTGTAGTCCCCTCACCGAAGCGAGTAGCCCGGAGATTGACCAGACTAAGGTATCAGATTACCCCGCAGGGCTACATTCTGCCCAAGGCGAGGGAACGCGCCTGCATTTTGACATGTGTTTCTAATTCGGACATTCTCGGCAATGCAAGTGTTGATTGGGCGTATGTGAAAGGTGTTACGGTCTTGCCTTGGCTCGATGTTACATTTGGGGCTTCTTCAAACAGAGTCGAGGCTCTGTTGTGCTGTCCTTACAAGCCGAATGCCACTGCGCAAAGACTCTGAAGTTCCAACATGTTCTGGCTGGACAGTTTCTCCTCTCCGGAGGAATTTTTGGAAGTTCGTTCTCCTGAACTCACAACAGTACTCCAGAGCTGCTGGGAAACCAAAGGATCCGCTTGGGAGCCAGCAGGGGCACTTCAAGTACGGTCAGATTCACCGAAGCAGGTGCACCACATCTAAGGCTCTTCTCCAGAGCGGATGCAGCCATAGCATGGCATGAAGCAGAATGCATAGAAGTTACCGGCAAGGTTGTCAGGCCGCTATATTTAAAACGCTGGGATAGACGAAGAGTTTGAGTTGAAGCTCACAACTACTTCCCCATCAAGCCCGTAGTAGAGGAACCTGTGAAGCCTACAGATCCTTTCGGTCCTAAACCCGGCTTCCAGCACAAGGATTTTGTAGCATGTTGGGATACCCAGCCTTGAATCAAAGATTATGAACCGTAAAACTGTGCAGGGGTCCTCGATTCAGTCACTGGCAGAAGCACCGAATAAAGAGCTTCAGACTGCAAAGGGATCCGTGATTGAGTAACTGCTTTTCTGAGGCCTTCCTTGCCTGGGACGCTGCTCGGCTGCGGCAGCCGGAAGCTCTCTGGATCTGGAAGCCTTGCAGCCCGGGGCCACGAAGGGTTGGAGGTTCATGGGTGGTTACAGGATTCTGTGCGGGTAGAGGGTTTAGGGCCTGCTTGGAGGTTCATGGGTAGTTAGAAGTGGGGGTTACGTTCAGGATCTATGCGACCTTTTGCAACTCCAAACTAAACCCGGTACTGTATATCCAGGAATCCACCTTAATCCCCAAGTGCTACATCCCAAACCGGAAGCCAAATTTTTTACTCCCTAAGCACCGAGCCCGGGAACCTTCGCTTGCGTGTGATCTTGGGGGCACATGGAAGCCATCACCAGACCTGCACAAGGTCAAAGCTGCGGCCGCGGGATCATGGTTTTCAGCTCCGACGTCCCTAAGGACACCTTCAAGGGTTGAGGCATCTAGGAATTCTAGAGGTCGAGGGCTTAGAGCTTAGGGGCCGGGCAGTTTTCCTGAGCAGGGCTCATTCGGGTGTGAAGGTCAGCAGCCATGGTGAGCGATTTGTGGCGAAGTCCTATGGGAGCTGCGAGCCATGTTGGCATGCGCCAAGATCTTGTGCGGTTCATCACGGAACCTGGTGGGATGAAGAGTGCCAATACGGCTAACACGGCTAACTCCATTCAGGACTTCCATTCGTGTTTCGAGATGTATCGCCGAGCCCCAGAAAGCGCTCGAGAAAGTGCACTTCTTGTAACAGGGCCCTAAAGCAAAACAGTGCGGTACCACCTCACCACGCGAGGATCAGATGAAAGAGATGTCCAAGAAGCCAGCAGCTGAGTGTCAGTTCGGCTTAGAGTTTACAGCCACTGGCTTGCCTCTCGGTTCATGCTCTTTCACGGTTTGTCTATGGCTAGTCAGCATCAAGATGTTCGCGTGCCTCAGGGTCGAAACAGCCTTGTCTTTTAGTTTGCTCGGCCTTCGAGACAAAACCCACGCGCCAAGCTTTGAGTTTTGAATCGGCTGAATAGCGACTCAGGCGTGGTATCATCCAGCGCTACATCCCCAATCCGCTGCTCATCGGCGGGCGCAAGTGCAGAACTGAGCTTTCATGGGAGTTGTTTAACCAACCTCGACACTGCTGCTGCTCCTACTGCTTCTACTGCCGCCACCACCAAGGCTACTAGGACGACAACCAGCAGACCGCCGGCTGCAACTATGACTACGACTGCTGCTGCTACCACCTACTGCTGCTTCTGCTATTACTACGACGACGACAACTTCTACTACCAATACCACTTCCACTACCACTACAACTACTACGACGACGGATGGTAGTAGCAACAACACTTACAAGACTGATTTTAGCAAGAGAGAATACCCGCACCGCTGCAGCAAGACTAGCAGTACCTGGGCGATAACCCACATGATCGCGCCGACTCTTCCCCCTATCTCTCTTGCATATGAGGATGCCTCCATGTCCACATACACCCACCCACCCACACATACACACACACACACGCACGTTTGGAATGGAGGAAGCGATTTCGACTGCTCAGGTTTGACATGCGCATCTACGTGGTGGTTCTGTCGTCCCGGCCTTACGGTGGAAGCGACGATGCACGGAAGTAGGGTATAGCAGGCGCAGGAAATTGCAGTCGTTGTGCTCATCGACGGAAAAGCAGCAACGGCTGTTGTTGATGGTCGTGGTGTTGGACTTAGGGAAGGGGGAGAGAGGGACTTGTTAATGCTTGTGGGTGTGATGAAACTTGGCTTCTATCTGATTAGACTAGATATTGGTGGCCTGTGGCAGGTACGATCCTCTCAAGGTGTACGTTAACGACGAGGGCCTGGTCCGGTTTGCCACGGAGCAGTATTCGGAAGCCGTGGACACGCTCCAGTCCAGGACGCCAACGGCGTTGTGCTCGATCTGCAAGAGCCACGACCATCAATAGCAGTCGCATTTGGCGTGGGTGCTGATGATGACGGTAGCAATGCTGCAACTCAGAGTACTAGCCGTGATAGGAAGAATGCTTCACGGAATGCCTTCAAGTCGTTCTCCCTCCAGCTCGGATCTGCTTTGCGGGACTCGGATCTTGAAGCTGCAGTGTGAAAGATAGCAGATGCCGGTGATCCAAATAGTGTGGTTTAAGGCTTCGCGACTATGATGTCCAGGCGAGTCGAGGAAGGCCGTCTCCGAACACCTCACACAACCGAACCTCGAGACAGCCTAGCACATCAACGCCCCGGTTCAGAAAGGCAGTTTCGTTTTACCGTCCGAAGCCTGAACCTCGATGTCACAGCCAGCCGTGGAGTTCGCAGGATGATGCACCTCACCAACTACTCGGTCAACAAGCAGCGGGGAGCCCGAGAAGTATCGCATTTTGGTAGATACCAGTGATTCGTCGAACTTAGGTTCAACCAGCAGTCTTGCAATGCCATAGCTGCTATGGTTGTGAAGCAACAACATGCATGGACAGCCGCGCCGGGTGTGCGACATGCACTCGGTGGAAGCTTCGCTGTGAGTCACCGGGAAGCCATAGTCTTCAGCATCTCGTTTTCTTGTCGTGCGGACTCTTCACGTCCTCGCACAACATCCGCACGAAGTGAGCCCTCGCATCAGGTTCCCCCTGAGGATCCATCCACAGCTCCTACCAATCCATCGAAGTCGTCGAGAGATCCGCAAGTCCCGGCTGAGGAACCCTGACTTTGTGCAGAACCTCGATGGCCAGGGAGAGGACTCCCAGAGATTTGATCCAGGGCCCCCTTGTCATTGTCATTGCGCTCACCACTTGGAAACACTGAGGTCCAAGGCCTTGCCACCGAGCATGTTTCGCAGTGCTCTTGACCTAGTGCCCATAGGAGTGACTGCAGTTGCACTCAGGATGGCACTGGTCACTGCCGCCGTACATTAGAATTCCTCCTGCTACTTACTGCTGCTGCTACTACTACTACTACTACTACGACTATGCCTACTCCTGCAACTGCTCCTCCCCCCACTGCTTTAGGTTTCTTCCATGAGCCTCTGCAGAGGTGCGTGGACCCAATTTCCGAAATGCCAGGACAAAGAGGATGCAGCAGTCGACGACAGCGGCCAGCCGAAGGCTTCCAAATGGAACCGGCCTCAGCGTTTAAGGTCAAGGCCTCATTGGGTTTAGGTCAGGTTTTGAGAACAGCACTGGAGTTCAGCTGTGCTTGACATTCCCCCGTAGGCCGAGATGCCACATGCAGATGTGGCGAAGCCGGTCGGAGATATGGGCAAGATGCCGTGGTCTTGTCACAGAAATTCTCGGATAGGTGCACTAAACAAGCGGATGTGCCGCTTAAGTCTCCGTTTCTACACAAAACGTTTCTTGCGACTGGCCAGGAAGCCGATAGCATCGTGTTTTCCAACGGAGCAACGTCGACGACGATCTTTCCCTCCAAAGACATGGCACGAAGCAAGAACTGTTTCTACCCCCGCACATGAAAGCTGAAAAAGCAGAAGCCAAGGACAACGACAAAGATAGGCCTCATGCAAGAAGGGCGGCGAAAATCCCTGGTCAATAGCAAACGCATCATTAGTTTCGCCCCTTATCCCTGAGCACGGTGCTGCCAAGTCAGGTCGCTCAAAGAGCTGCAGTCCGGGCCCCGGGTGTTGTTGGAAGGGGACAGAAGGCGACAAACCCTCCATGAGGGAACGAGTCTTTTCGATTCACCCCAGGACCAGCGGTTGTGAGTGCGTGAATGCTTTCGCCTCCAGACGGTGACCGATTCGATGTGTGCTCAAGCTGCCGCTCAAGATTTTGTGATTTCGAACCTAGGTGCGTAGAAGCCCAGTCCACAAGCAGAACCTCAGCGTGCATGAGCTGCTAGCATGATCAACTGCCAAGAAGCGCACTCTTGAGTGTTTTCGTTTAGTTACCTTGATACTCTTATTTGCGGCCCAGAATCACCCCTATACTCTAAAACCCGAAACCCTAAAACCCCAACCCTATACCCTCAACCCTCACCTATATATATATATATATATATATATACATGTGTATAATACTCTTATTTGCGGCCCAAAAGCACAAGCACAAGCCATGTTCTCAGGATACATTTCGCCCGCGAGGGTCTCGACTTCGAGGCGCCGGCCGAACACCAGAAGCTCTTCCTGTGCTGATATAGCTTTACAAAAAGGGGATGTAAAAAAGTTACCATAGGGTTCCTGAAAGGGGCCTATAGACGATCTATGTAGGGTTCTATGTGATAGGGGCCTATAATCACTACTATACTATGTTGGTCTCCGGTGCTCAGAGACCAGGGCTAGCAGGAGGCTTGCTGTCGTGGCTAATCTTAGCACGTCTTCATCACAGGATTCCTGGAGTTCGCAGGGATTTCCACGGGCTTGCCGCCGAACGGTCAAAGGCCACGAATCTCCCTCTCCTACTGCGGCTCCGCCTATGTATAGACAACGCACTTAAACCATTACAGGGGCCGCTGCGTTAGGGCAGAGGCGTAGGAGAACCTCCGAGAAGCCGACCGCACAGAACCATGAACCCCAACGGACGACCCGCCTAGAGTAACGAATTGCGCCCTTCGGGACCCTGACCTAAGAGGCGAATTTCATCAAGCCTCCAATCTTGCCATGTAAGCGCAGGCTTTCGGAGGCAAGGTGTCGAGGTTGACGGTCCGAGAATCCGGGTATAAAGCCCGTATCCTGCGGAGGCCATGTGGGCATCCATGAAGGCCGCGGTAAAACTTTGTTTGCTAAATAAAAAAATCCAGAGGGAAAGGGGGTTTGGGGTCTTCGGGTTACTTGCATCCTCCGGCTTACGACTCTCGGACTTTGGACTTCAGCTGGATTCAGTGGGACCGCTGTGACAGCTTCTTGCGGGGGTACTTAAAAAGATGTTTATTTTCGATTCCTATAATCCCTAAGAAACAGCTACATTTACAATTTTTGCTAGGGGTCTAAGTTCAGCAAAGGCTTCACGTGCAGCCAAGACGTGGACTGCTGAATTAGGCTACAGACAGCGTTAGCTCGAAACATCCGCAGGTGTATTGATGAGGCAAGGGCTCGGGAGTTTGTTTTGCCAGGAATACGCAACTGCTTGCTTTGACTGTTAACTTGAGGCTCTTGTGAGAGATTGTGTGCAACCTGACACTTCCGCATCCTCTATACTCTATACGTCACTGGATAGCTTTCAGCTTGCTAGCTGCAAACTGAACATGAATGTGCTTGTCGTTGTTACGGTAACATGGTTGTCCTCATCCAGGCACACATATACACTGCCCATTTATCCGGTCATCCATCAGATGCATTATGCAGGCGCCAAGCTAGAAGCATATAATATGAGCACATGAACACACTGGCACACACCTATGCATTTTATATAAACGTGTGCTCATGCACTTGGTGGGTGCCAGATGACGTATACACCCGTGCATTTGTGAACCTACGTAGCTGTAGCTATGTGTCTGGGCCATGTAATGCAATGCTATGTACGCTGAGGCAAGGCAAGGAAAGGCAAAGTATGCCATGTAGCATGACATACCGCAATGTACTGCAAGGCCATCTAATGCAATCTAATCACAGTGTAATGCGGCGGAATGCAGGTATCGGTAATGTGATGCAGTGTATCTAGTCTAGCGTATGTATGCACGCATGCACACATACATACACAGATACATGAGTGTAGCTCTCGCATGGCGAAAGACATACCTCCAGACAAATCCCTCGGTGTCTGTGCAAGTGGACAGGACCTGGTCATTAAGACCCTGATCTCTGTGGAGGAGCCTTTGAAGGCCACCGCGCACGGTTTAGGGTGTAATATAGAGGCTTCATGATTACCTACACTATGTTGGGAGGTTCCTTATTGTAATTATAGTGTAGTGGGCCCTAAAGCCCTATTCTAATTATTACTAGTAAGGCCCCTATTTAGGTTCCGTGGGCAGGAGTCCCGATCTTCTTCGCAATCTGTCACACACAAAGAGTTCCTCCGACTTGGATACAGCATGTGAAGCCAACACCGTATGTCTTTGCTTGAAGCCTTGGGAGCCGAAGGTTTGACATAAAGTTTGTCTTACTCAAAAATGCTTGCCCGTTAATAGAGGCCTGCGTCGCGCGGTGCTGCACAGCAGTTAGTTACATTATCCTGGGGTGTGCAGGACAAGTCATGTGCTCCGTCTTGGTGTTTCGAAACCCCCAGAGTGCCATCAGATTGGTTTCAGAAAAAGCCACGTTCCGAACATGGAGTGTAAGTTTTACCAGCACGGCAAGATTGTTCCTGACGAAAGCGACCAGCGAAGCCTCAAAGGCCTTGCCCGCCCCCATGTCCTGCACATATGTACGAACGGAGCCCTAGGTCAACGAGTCGCCCGGCTGCTTTCCGTACGTACAACCGTTCTCCTGCCTAGGACTGCCACCAGGTGATGTACAAAAGTTAGAAAACGCTGAGAATCCAGATCCAGTGCCAGAAAGTCTCTAGGTGATATAAAGGCTCAATTCTGTTATTAGTCACACCTCGAGAGCTCATGAACATCTCCTGTATCACTTGGCGCCAGAAGAGCTGCGCTGCGCTAAACCCTCAACCACCATGCCTCGGAACGTCCACGAAATCTTGCAGCAGGCTGAGTGGGTCAAGACGACGGGCTGCGAGGTGGGAATGGCGTTGGCATGGATAACGTCGGGGTTCGGCACCAGTACCACTTTTGCTATAGCTACTCTAGCCACCACTGAAAGTGTCATCCATGAATTCTACTCGGCTGTTTTTGTTCGTGCACGTTGTTCTTGCCACTGTTTCACATGTCACTGTACCCATTTCTGTGCTGAAACTTCAAGTTTCAAGTGGATCAATCGCGTCAACACTTCGTCAAGAACAAAGACCTTTGTGTTCTGTCGGATTGGGGCCAGACAAATTCATGTACTGGTGATCATGGTGCATTGGTAGACGTGGTCTAACGCTGTGCGAAGGGTCAGCAAACCACTCAGCTTGCAGACCTAATGCTCCCGTTGCGAGGACGGCGGATGGTCTGCACGTGGACCAGGAGGTGGATTCGCATTCAGATGATTGGATTTTGTAATATAGCGGCCGGAACAAAGCGCATCCCCGATAACCCTTTTACGCTCAGAATGCAACATATCTATATACGCCAATCCAACTATGAAGATGCTGTGGCTTCAAGGGTGTTTTGATGCTCAGGTAAGTGCGCGGAGGCATACAGTTTGAAGAGCTTTGTTGCAAACCAATCTGGGGGCAGAGCTGATGCAAGCAAGCCTGTCTGCTTGCTGCAAGTGAAGGAGAACTTGCGACCAGGACATGAAATACTCGTGTCGAACCGTGATTGAGCACGAATCTTGGACACATGAAAACCGCGAAAGCCTGTAACCCGATTGCAGGTGCCCACAGGGGTTCCTGCTTCGAGATCTACGGATTCGACGTTCTCGCCGGGCCTTCAGCAGGGTGATTTCTGTAGGCGATAGAGGAGGATAAGCCTTGAGAGGCTCTGTGTGGCTTCTACAGAAGTAGATCTTAGGATCGTTCCTGCAGGAAAGAAACCCTCCTCAATGGTTCTAGAGTTATGGTGTCGACGCCGGCACAGCTGCAGTTGGTGCTAAAAGCTCAACCCCGCCATAGGATTGCAATACCTTCGACCTTCATTGTGGGGTCAGCATGGCACCGCATGTGGCCTGAATTCTCCAGAAAGTATCGGAGGAAGTCAGAGTTGGAGGAGCGCAACACAGCACGTGTAGCCCCTACAGCGTACGAGAGTCCGACTAAGGTCGACCGCAGTCTCAAGCCATGGCTCTTGGAGGTCAACATCTGCACGGAAGCTCAGGGATATCAGGAGTAAGACTTTGGGGGTAGGTGTGTTCTGATGTTACTGGCGTGTCGCGACACCACACCTCCCGAGACGTGGAATTACATCACAGCTGCAAAGTCGCAGTGTTGGGATATTGCAGCTTGAGCCTCCAGAATTCGGAAGCCCGAAGCCCATGCAAAGGTCCGTCCCTGTCCAGCGGCTCTCCCTTGGACAAGCGGATCAAGACAAAGCTGGTTGCAGATGCCTAGACCTGAGCGGCACCTGTTGCGCGATAAGCTGTCACCATAGGCACATGTCGTCGTCTCAGCACCAACGGTGGCAGTGTCATCCGTCTTTTTGTTTTTGGTTCCATTGCACTCTTTGGTTTAGCCTATCAGAGCACGCTGTGAGGGCACTCGCTACTGAAAAGCAAAACGAATCTGCCCATGCCTCCGTGTGTCCCTCTCTGTGTCCATATTAAGGTACATTGCGCTCCAATAGTCAACAAAGTTGCCAACTTGAACTTGCACGTAGTACACGCAGCAGCTCCAGAGCCACTATCAAAATCCACGGCCTCGTTGCCTTTTGGCCGACTGGCCCCAAACATAACATCGAAAAGGCATGTTTAAGGCCGGTTCAAGCTAGAAGGTTTACAGGGGTTTGCGAGCTTCAAGAAGGGCTGTATCGTTTTGTTGATACCGTGGTCGCTCCAGGTAGGATTGAGGGTGAGGGTTTCGAAGTTGTAGAGTGCTTTCAAGTCGTCTGATGCTGAGGTCCTCACATTAGTCGGCGTCGTCTCCTCAGTCGGAATTCGACCGTGGTGTGTTCAGGTTGAGTACGGCTCAGAGTCACTTCTCGAAGTTTTGGAAGGACAGGATCTTCGATTAAACGTAGGCGCATCCATTGCTCAGGATAAGAGCCCGGCAGATGCTTGTTAGAGATTCACCTGCAGGTTTGGGTATGGCCTTACTCGCTCGGCTTGCTACTACTTCGAACAACAAGACACCGTGTTAGACTCCTGCCCTAGCTTCTCACGTTCGTTGCAGCGGTAGACATGGCAGAGGTAAAAGGCCCAGGACATGGAAATCTTGCCTTATCGGCACTGGCTTTGGCTTCTTCGTGTGCTCTTCTTTCGGGTTTTCTTGCTCGCTCGCCCCAAACCCCAGGCCGCCAACTCACAGCCTTAGCCTCCTTCTCGACGGACTGGCACCGAAGGATGCAGCCGATTGAAACAGGTGGAACTGACATTGTCCAATACAGAAGCTTGAATAATAATGATCAGGCCCGCTATTCTTAACGGTTCCTAACAATAGCCAGCTTCTAATTGTAAATGAGGCTATGTTGGCCCCAAATCTCCGCAAAAGAAATTGTGAGCTTTGATGTGACCCAGGTACATCCACCCACTGCTCTGTGGAAGCTAAGCCGTGGCTTCGGAGAGGGTTTAGGGTTTAGGCTGCGTTTTGGTAGGGTTTTTTGGTATGGGGCTGCTTGAAATCAGTGGTACTTTGTTTTAGGGGCCATATGTTACGGCTCTTACCACGTCGAGTTTCTTTCAGGGTCATCATGGGTATGGTTCGGTATACTTTTGATACTAAGGTAAGGAGTTTCGGGTTTAGGGCCTAGCTACTGGTGAGCTCGTTGTGTGGGACAGTGACGAAAGAGCACGAGTTCGTTTGTGTGAATCGCCATGAGCGGCATAGCCACTCTCACCAGCAACTCGGGTTCATTGTGGCACAGTAGATTTCAGGCCCAGCTTGAATTTGTTCAGCACTTTCGTGAGCACGAAGTGTGTGATAGCTTCTGAGCGTCTCTGAGATGTTGAGGACTTTATACGGGAGTTTCCGAAAATGAGGGGTAACTAATTTTCGGGGTCTTTATAAAAAGGATCCAGCTATTTCGGCTGCTATATTAGGGTCCCCTATTTTCGGAAGCTCCCATATGGACAGAATTGCAGAAGGTGTTTCGTCACAGCCAATGCAGCTCAATCCTTAGTGTGCTGCCATGAAAGATCTAAAGGGCGTATTGAACCGCTGGCAGTTAGTCTTGCCTGCCACGGATTTAATGCAACCGTACTGCAGATTTTCCCATTTTTCAATATCTCAGGGTACAGGGCAGCTTTCAAGCACGAGGATCGGTCGATGCGGCAAGTCATGCCGTTTGGGGTGTAAGCGAGAGTCCAGGAGCAAGTAGCTTGCACGCTGTCTGCTTCGGTAGCATGTAGCCGCCATGCACGACTCGGAAACAAGCCCGGTGGGGCGACTGGACGAGTATATCCGAAGCTTCGAGCAGAAGTATGGCGCTGTTCCAGTTGAGCTCCAGACGAACGACTTGCAAAGTTCTGTTGGCAGCTTTGTGGAACCGCTGGCCTTGCGGCAGAGTCGTGAGGACAAGCCGGATCCGCCAGACGGCCTTCGCAATGTCCAATCCAGCCCAGCACGCGAGCTTTCGTCGCTGCCGGTTAGAACGACTACACCGAGATATCCATGGCAGGTAGCCCCGTCGGAGCCTGTACGGGCCTTACCCTTCAAACTCCGAACCAAGGGGCTGGAAGCGTTTGTGCCCCATGTCCCAGCGGCAACAAGCAGCTACAAGGCGCCGTCTGGATTTGCCAGCGACTTCTCAACAGCCTGTGGCTCTTCCAGCCTGGGCCTGGGCCTGAAGCCTTCAGAAGCAGATCCTCCTATGCCTGACAAGTCAGCAACGGCCCTGGATATTTCAAGCATGGACCTTTCACACCTGAGCATGCCTCCTCTCTTTGAAAGAAGCTCCATGTTCAATCCGGTACCAGAGTGGGATTCAAGCCGTGTCAGTCAGCGGAGTTTTTCACAGGTGCCTGCGCCTTTGCCGCAGTCCTCTTTTTGCAGCCTTGCTGCACGGTCCAGCTTCGTGACTGATGCAACTTCCTCGAGCTTGGGCTTTGCACCAGGTGGGGATGTTTCAATCTTCATTGTATCTGCCATGCTATCTATCTACCTATATATCTACCTATCTGTTTATTGATCAATCTATCGATCTATCTGTACTTCTGATTGATTCTCGCGTCCGTAAGGTCTGTATCCACGCATGTCTGTGCATGAATGCATGTGCGACAAGATTGTGGGGTATATGCACACATGGCACTCCAAACAGCAAATTCATGGGTGCAAGCTATATCCTGTTTGCTTCTCAGGTGACCGAGGCGACCCGGGCTTCGCCCCCTGCGCACGTTTGCAAAGGGCTCGTGCCGCCAGCAACCCACCGAAGCTGCAGCTCGCGGGCCCAAGTGGCGTACGACACCGACTTGCGCATAATGCACCCAGGCCCAGGCCTTCGAGCCCGAACCTGAACCTGGGCTCCCCCTCCCCTGCCAACCATCGGCTCACAATCGGGAGCAGCCCTTGCAGAGTCTCCTCCCAGGATCCTCCCTTGGCGCCCCGCCAGGCAGTGCCCAAAGCCCAGAAAGCTGTGGGCGGCCAAGGCTCTGGCCCTCTGGAGTCTGGGCCGCCCCAGCTGTCTCCCCCGCGCAAGAAGAGCGCTGGCAGTGCCGGGCCACTGCCTTCAAGAGCATCGCCATCTTTGAAAGATGCAGCGGTCCAGTTTGAGCATGGTGAGCGGAGTGCTGCCAGGGAGGCACAAGACGAAGTGAACTGTCAAAGCCCGAAGGTTCCTCAAAGACCTCTGCAGTCCTTCGCTGCTCGGTCTTGCGAGATTGCCGTGCAGACGGAGAGCATCGCTGCAGCTACCGATTCCAACACTGCTCCAAGGCTTCAAGTTGAGCCGATTGCTGCAGTGGCCCATTTTCCTGAGGCGCCGTTTCAAACGAACGGCAAAGGGGAGCAACGCGACGAGCCGTCGCGCGACAACGGCTTGTGGAATTCCATGAGCCCCCTGTCTCAAAACAGCGCGCCAAGGCGTGAACTTGCTGAAGGGGTTTCTCTCAGCCAAGACGATTTGACACAAATGAGTGCTTTGTGCACCCCTGAGAAGCTCTGGTTTTCTGCCATGAAGGATGACACGCCGGACTTCGGTGGCGACATTGCTAGCGCACGCGCTTCGAGCTTGTGGCAGGGTTCGTTCAACACCCGGCCGATCGGGCTCGGCATGGAGCACGATGTGGCCCAAAGCCTCGACGGCCCTTGTGGCAGACTGGCATCACCCCCTTCTGCAGAGATGTCCCACACCAATGCAGAGATGGAGCAGTTAAACCAGCAACTGCTGAGAGCCCTGGCTCGTGCAATGACTCACTTGCGCCGAATGCAAAGTTTGTCTCTGCCAACGAGCTGGAACACGCCGCATGATGCCTAATTCAAAGAATGTCTTCTCCGCCTCGCACAGCAAAGAGGAAAAGCTGGTTCCTGCAAACTGCAGTTCGCAGTGAGCGTATTCATAAGCCCGCTTCCATGTTATATGATGTTGGTTCAGTATGCACCAACATGTAAGTGCTGTAGGGGCATGGATCAAACTTGCAAATAACAATAATCATGATAAGAATAACTAATAATAATAATAACAATAGTAGTAATAATAATCATAATAATAATAATAATAGGTCCGAACTCATGGGTCCGTGCCTGCCTTCGTGCGAGTGCGCGACTCGAAACATCATGGGCGCTCTCGAGAGTCCCTATAAAACTCTACGACAATGTACCCACAGCCCAGAGCAATCGGAACAATGAAAGTTCTATCACATGTCTAGTCCTTATACGAATATACCTACCTCCTAGTCCTCGAACTAGTCGCCCTAAACCCAACCCTAGAATTGAATGATTATGGCCCCTACATCAGTCCATCACGGAACTCAGTCGCCAGCCTTGCTAGGTCTTCCGCTTCAAGCCTCCGGACGTCGTCAATCAAGAACTATTTTATGACATACCCCATTACATGGTAGTATGTCATACTACATTGTACTACATTGCTTATGCAGAGCCCGTGGCGCTGCGTGCCGGTACGAGGACGTCAACCGGCAAATTGGAAGCTACCTCTGACGAAGCTCTTTGAGACTTTAGGGGTTCAGGTGCTTTCGTCGCACGTGCTTCCCCAAAATGTCCACACCAGTTGTTAGCTTTCGTCATGCATAGGGCGGTGTCTCAACAGACCCAGAGCTCTGCATCCTCCTGGAAGCTGTGTCTTCTTACCGGAGGTCCGGGCAGCGTCAATTGGCCGGCTGGTCAGGAGGTGCTCACCTCACCTTGGTTGGATCCCGCTCCAGGTCATAGTTGCAATGGTGACGACGATGAAGATGATGTCAGGGCACTACCCACGACGGCGATGACAAGTCCTGTAGCGAGTGCCACGAAGTTGACAAGACAAGGAAGGCTGTGGTGTTGACACAGGGGCGAGGATTGCGGTGAGAAGGACCACATGACAGAAACGAAATCAGGAGTTATTATCATCGGGTTGCTTGATTTTGCGTGGGAGTTGGGAGTGCTCATCGCTTCAAGAACCGACGGCATATAGGACTCAGCGAGATCGGAGCTTGCGTGTTGTAAGTTTAGTGTGTAGTAGTCTGTTTCCTTTGGCGTGGCACTGCACTCATTGATGGACACTCCGAGCTCGAATTGGAAGGGTCCCTGTGTTTGGCATGGCGACGAGGCGATGTCAGTAAACTCCTTCCTTGCGTTAGCTTCGTTCCACCGATATCTAAGGCCGCTTGAACAGGTGGATGCAGCAGCTTCCAAACCCCCACCATGAGACAAGTCAACTGTGCGCAGGGCAACGTCGACTCCATCATGGATGAGCAAGAAGCAGCCACAACTGCCACAGGTGACTGGGATTTCAGAGCATAAAGCAGGTGACAAGCAGATTGGTTTTTTAGGACCATACTCGGATATTCAATGCGAGTGGCGAATCTCAAATCCCACAGATTTTGAGCGTTCTACTTACTACTGGAGCTACGCATTTGTTGCAACTGTTGTCAAACTGGCTCAAAATTCGCAATAGTATGCTGTTGAAGAGCCCAGACGTGCTGCCGCCCTTGTCCAGCTACTCACTATTCAAGCGAAAGTCCCAGGCGCAGCAGGCCCAAGACACGTCCTTAAGGGTGGCACGGAGGGGTAAGAGCTATGTCAGCAAGATTGAGGTAGAGGTCCCATTAACATTCTGGTCCTTTAGTATCCCGATTTTACTATACAAAAATGCAGCTTCGAGCGCTATTCTAGTTATTTACCTATCACAATTAACCTTTATAACAGGAACCCTACAAACCCGATTGAATCAAATATGTCGTTAAATCAGGCCCCTAGATTACGGCTGGAAGGTTGCCAGCTCTCCGATGAAGAGATGGCCAAGCGAGCGAGACGATTGGTCACGAGCCAAGCACTCGCAAACAGAAACCCCGAGATGAATCGAAGAGGATAGTGTAAGGGCCTGCACAGTAAGCGCATTCCCTTACAGTCCCAGCATACAGTTATTACAGTTATACTGTTCTACTCAAAGAATCCGTGAAAGGGGGGCAAACTTGAAGTTGCTCCAGTTTCTGTTCTGCGGCCTCTCACTGTTGCAACGGGTTCAAAGAAGCCTCTACCCCTCAAAGCCCTCCTAAAGAAGGGCTGCTGGGTTGGATTGTTTGTTGCTTTCGTTGAGGGGGGAGGTGAGGAGGTGTAGGCCCCAAACCTTAGAGTACAAAGCCGCAAGTGCAGCCAAAAAGTGCTCCGACAGATTGTCCTCTTTAACCAGCTGAATGATCTGTTAAATGGTTCCTGGAATCAGGCACAGACACATATACATATATAAATATATACGTGCATGCACCATTTGTACTGTTTCCAATGCATTTATGAGTGCCGGTACACGTCCTTTTGGTTGCTTAGACGTGGGTATGTGGGTGTGTTTGACACTCAGAGCGTTTGGTGGTGTGTTTAATACAACTACTTTTGTTTCATGCATCTACCATTGTGTACCCCAAGCCCTATGCCAAAGTTGCCTATATGTTATTCCCGGCGCTTTCAAGGCTGCCTGCGACAGCCTGCATCCCAGCAGTTCCAAGAACTCGAGCTTGTGGATTGGGTTCCGCGGTTCAGCTTCGATTCCACAGACCAGAATGGCTTTCATCGCAGGGGGCTTTCCGATCGAAAAGCATTCCATGCTCTAGAAAGCTGGGGAACCTTGAAGTGGATGTTAGCATGGGTGTGATGATAATTGGAAGTACAAATCTACCGAGCTGGGATGTGTGAGCCGACACGGCGGTTCGTTGTGGGTCATGCTTTCTGCATTGTCTGCATTTTGATGGCCACTCTTCTTGCTACACTTTGACTTGTGCTAATGAGCAGTGTGTGTTGTTTGGTTTTGGAATAGTCAGAAAGCGCCGCTCCGTCGCGAGTGCCTAGTGGACAGGTCGTCGTGAAGCCTTGCCTTCATGACCGGGAGAGTAGCGCGTCTGGCTAAGAAACGAGGCTCTGAATCCTCAGAAAGTATCAGCGACTGGAGTTGCGGTTAGGCCTGCAGGGCCTTAGGCTCTGAGTCTTCGGAGTATAGGAGTGCAGCGCATCGGCTTGTTCCAATGTGAGAAAAACGATTTTTGCTGCGCGCACCATTTCTCGAGAGGTGCTGCTGTGTTGTGTGGGAGGAGTGTCAAAAACTCAACAGCCAGAACAACTAAGATTGCAACAACTTCTTTCTGTTCTACCACCTCCACTACCAGTAGCAGCAGCAGTGGTCGTCGTCCTCGTCGTCTCGTCGTCGTCGTGGTTGCAGTGGTAGAGTTGATGGTGGTGGTGGTGGTGGTGGTGGTGGTGAGTTTTGTAACGGCAGCAGGATTTGTAGTAGCTGTTGCAGATGCTGCTGTACCAGCAGCATTTATTGTAGTGCAACGACTGCTCCGGCCACAGCTCCTTCCAATGCTGTTGCTTTTGCTCTTCTGCCTGCCGCTGATCCACCTCCTTGTCGTGGCTCCTCCTTTGTCTCCCGACCCTCGCCGCGACGTGTGGTAAGGTCCGCATGAAGCTCTTCAGCTCTTCGACGAGGCCGCCGGAAGCCTCAGACCTTTGCTGGGAACAGGTTTGCAAGCTTCAAATTTTGCTTATAGGCACACACACTTCTTGAGCATTCGGAATGGGCTCAAGTGAAGATGCTCTGCCCTGCTTCATGTGACATGCGAGTCTCCATGCTTTGGGCCGGAATCTGTTGTGCAGAACCGTGCGGGTGAACATAACCGGAGGGCTCAGCAGAGCAGGGTACATGAGTTACTTGAGCATGCCTCGTCTCGGATCCGTCACTGAGCCTTCGACTGTAAGCACTCTCACGGTAGTCTCGTACTAATGTTTCATCCAAAATGCGATTCCTTTGGCAGTAGCGTCTTGCTTGTCCTAACCCGTCGAAGTTCGTTATGGCTTCCCGGATGCTGGGTCGCTGCATGTCAACCCTGCCAGCATCAACCCCTACCAGAATGAGGACGGCTATCACTGTCACCAGTGCCCTTAGCATGGGTGCTGCTCCAGCCGTGGCCTGCCACGCATCACGTTCCCCCACCAACAACCCCATAACTCTTGCAGCAATAATACTACCACAATACCATGTACTGCGATGCTGCGCAAGATTGGCTGCCAATGCCACTGCTCTTCGTATGATTGTAACTATTGCTTCCACTACCCAGACGACGACAACTCCCGCCACGACGAGTACTACTGTTGCAACTAAACTAGTAGTAGTAGTAGTAGTAGTAGTAGTAGTAGTAGTAGTAGTTGTCGTCGTCGTCGTCGTCCTACTACTACTACTACTACTACTACTACAACTACTACTACTACTACTACTACTACTGCTACTACTACTACTACTACTTCTACTACTACTACTACTACTACTACTACTACTACTACTACTACTACTACTACTACTACTACTACTACCGCTACCACTACCACTACCACTACTACTACTACTACTACTACTACTACTACTACTGCTACTACCACGGCTGCTGCAGCTGTTGTTGCTCCTGCCACCACACAACTACTACTACTACTACTACTACTACTACTACTACTACTACTACTACTACTACTACTACTACTATTCCTACTACTACTACTACTCCTACTACTACTAGTACTACTACTGCTACTGCTACTGCTACTACTACTACTACTACTACTACTACTACTACTACTACTACTACTCCTACTGCGACTACGACTACTACTACTGCTACTGCTACTGCTACTTCTACTACTACTACTACTTCTGCTACTATTACTACAGCTACCACTACTGCTACCGCTACTGCTACTACTACGGCTACTGCCACTGCTACTACTACTGCTACTACTACTACTACTACCACTACTACCGCTGTTACCACTACTACTACG